CACTGTTTTAGATGGAACTGGCAAGAAGGCACTGTATGAGAATTTCAGGCTGTAATTGATTTTTCAGTCTTAAATTCAGATCTGTCTTAAATTTAGATCATTTTGCTTTCACTTTAACAAGATAGAGAGTTGTGTGTCTGTGTGTGAGACAGAGAGAGAGAGAGAGAGAGAGAAAGGGAGAAAAAGAAAGAGAGAGAGAGAGAGAGAAGAGAGAGACAGAAAGAAAGAAAGAAAGAGAAAGAAAGAGAGGGAGGGAGAGGAAAGAGAGAAAACGAAGGAAGGAAGGAAGAAAGAGAGAGGGAGGGAGAGAGAGAGAGGAAAGGAAAAAAGAAAGAAGGAAGGAATTAAAGAAGAAAGGAAGGAAGGAAGGAAGGAAGGAAGGAAGGAAGGAAGAAAGAAAGAAAGAAAGAAAGAAAGAAAGAGAGGGAGGGAGGGAGGGAGGGAGAGGAAAGAGAGGAAAAGAAGGAAGAAAGGAAGGAAGAGAGAGAGGGGGAGGGAGGGAGGGAGGGAGAGGAAAGAGAGAAAAAGAAAGAAGGAAGGAAGGAAGGAAGAGAAAGAAAGAAAAAGAAAGAGAGGGAGGGAGGGAGGGAGAGGAAAGAGAGAAAAAGAAGGAAGGAAGGAAGGAAGAAAGAGAGAGAGGGGGGAGGGAGGGAGAGGAAAGAGAGAAAAAGAAAGAAGGAAGGAAGGAAGGAAGGAAGAAAGAAAGAGAAAGAAAGAAAGAAAGAAAGAAAGAAAGAAAGAAAGAAAGAAAGAAAGAGAAAGGGGTTGGACTAGAAGACCTCCAAGGTCCCTTCCAACTCTGTTATTCTGTTAAAAGAACATTTCTCTTGAGTCAAACTGAATTCTGGTTGACGACATGGACACGTCCATGCAATTACTGGGCAACTATGTGCTCATGAAGTCCTTGATGCTCTCTGAGCAAGGTTGTTGACTTGCAGACGTTTCATGACCCAACTAGGTAATATCTTCAGTGCTGTTGGGAGTGAGGTTTTCTCTTTGTTTATATACTACTGGCTTCCTCTGTCAGTGTTGGCGGGAGTTTTGGGTGGTTACTTGATTAGGCTGTTGTTTACTTAGTACCTGAATGGAGTTTACTGCTATTTACTGAGGTTTACTATTTGGTGTTAATCTCTATTTACGAGGGTGTCGATTGTCGGTCAGGTTATGTTGTGGTCTTTTAGCTTAATCAAGGAACAGCCAAGAACACTCCTACCAACACTGGTTGGGGTATATAAACAGAGAGCAAACTCCATTCCTTTCTAGTAGTGAAGATCTTACCTTGTTGGGTCATGAAATGTCTGCAAGAAACCCACCAAGTTCAGAGAATACCAAGGACCCCACCGTTCAACAATGGCCGACAAATAACCCTTCTGCTGGTAGATGCACATGTTGTACCGTTGCCTCGTTCTGCAGCAGTTTTTAAACTTCTCAGTCTAGCTAACACCCCTGGTTGATCTTCCATCCAAGTATTAACCCAGTTCCAATTTGCTTAGCTTTTTCCAGATCAGTTCCATGTTACCGTATGTGTATGTCTCTCGTGTCGATGGATTCAAACATCCATTATAAATAGACATTTCGGTGACAGAATTCACAAGCTTATGTCTTGGTTTGGGGTTAGTTTGCTGCCTGGTTACCATTTTCAGTTGCAAAGCTCCAGTCTCTACACAAACACACCTCTGCCCCACCTCTGGTGTGAGGTCTATTTCCCCTCAGGGGCCTTACACACTTCCCGTTGTTTCGTCCACTCCACCACCAAAGCAGAAACTTTCCCATGTAAGGAGGTTATCAGAACTTCAGTTCCTCAACTCCCACACCGCGAGAGTAAAACTCCACCAGCCATTCTCCACAGGGTGAAGTTCTTTCTATTCTTAGGAGGCCCACGCCCAACGTCCATGTGAATCCTCCGATACAGCCATGGGTAAAAAGGGCCCTTGACCTTTCCAAGTTCCTCTCTGGAGGCTTGTGGAATTGAATGAGGGTTTCTGTTTTGATTCGCTCACCTGCCCTTTTAGGAGGAAAAAAAAAAGAGTATTTATATCAGCACAATGGGAAGGGAACAAAATGCCCCTGCTTTCTTGGCATCTTGGCCACATCAGTTACTGATCCAGGACAATGCTGGGTGGAACTGCCTTCTCATGTGTTCCAAAACGCCAACGCTTTGGGTGAACAGAGATCCTAACACAATCTCTTCGTAGATTGAGCCACTCCATGTGGGGTCAGCTGAGGTGGAGGTGGAGGCAGCATGGAGATCAGAAAGTTGGGAGCTAAAAGAGCCAGTTGTGTAGTGGTGGAGGTACCAGGCTAGAAACCATGAGGTCTAGTCCCTTCTAAAGGCAGAGATCCCCAACTTTTTGGGCACCAGGGACCGGTTCCGTGGAGAAGGTTTTTCCACGGACCGGAGAGTGAGTGGTTTTGTGTGCTGCCTACATACTACGGATGGGGCTTTGCTTGTTTGTGCGGACCGGTTCCTGGCATACTGTGGCCTGGTACCGGTCCATGGACCAGGGATTAGAGACCTCTGGGCTAAGGCATGAAGCCAACTGGTTGACTTTGGGCCAATCACTCTGTTTTATCCCTGGGAAGAAGCAGGCAAGGGCAAACCACTTCTGAAAATCATGCCAAGAAAGCTGTAGATACTCCTTTAGGCAGTCACCTGGAGTCAAGTTTTACTCAAAGATCCACCATCACCACTACCATCCAAAAATGGTTAAATGTAGAAAGCCTCGTTTTTGCATACAAGCTCAGTCTTTGGCATCTCAAGTTAGGCATTGCTTCTCTGAAATTTTGTTTGGTTGTTGACCCTTAGGGCAGAACATCTAACAGAAAAACAGAGTTGGGAGGGACCTTGGAGGTTTTCTAGTGCAACCTCCTGTTTAAGCAGGAGACCCTATACCAGGGGTAGGCAACCTTGGCTCTTTTATGACTCGTGGACTTCAACTCCCAGAATTCCTGGGCCAACCGTGCTGAGGGGAAAGGGAGAAGTTTCCAAGCTGAGCCATGCTGGCTCAGGAATTCTGGGAGTGGAAGTACACGAGTCATAAAAGAGCCAAGGTTACCTACCCCTGTCCTATACTATTCCGGACAAATGATTGTCCAATCTCCTTAAAAATCTCCAGTGATGGAGCACCCACAACTTTTGAAAGCTTTTCCCATCTTGAAGGACTTGAGATATTTTGGCTGGGGTTGATCGTGTAACTAGTTCAAACATGTGGAGGAAACGGGGTTGAGGATAGCTGATGTACAAAGTCCTCACCTGGTTGACTCAGTGCTTGCAGACCCTGGTTTCTACTGGGTTTGTACCACTGCAGAGAAGAAGGCTCTTGGATGGTCTTGCAAAGCAGAGATATGACAATTTCCCCCCTTAATGACAGGTAATGTCATTAATTCTCTTTCTGGGCTGCCACAAAGGAGAGGGGGGGTCAAGCTATTCTCCAAAGCACCTGAAGGCAGGAGAAGAAGCAATGAATGGAAACTAATCAAGGAGAGAAGCAATCTAGAAATAAGGAGAAATTTCCTGAGAGAACAATTACAGTAATCAGTGGAACGACTTGTCTTCAGAAGTTGGGGTGCTCCAACATTGAAAGTTTTTTTTTTAGAAGAGATTGGACAGCCATTTGTCTGAAATGTTATAGGGCAGTAATGGCGAACCTTTTAGAGACCGAGTGCCCAAAAACCAGCCCACCCCCACCCTGCCCACCACCCTGTGCCCCGCCTGCCCGCTGGGCCACCCACCGCCTCCACGGCCTGCCACAGCAGATTGGCCAAGTAGCCCAGCAGCGCCATGGTGGCCACACCCTCCACCCGCACCTGTAGCATCATCTGTGCATGACGGAGCGTGAGGGCAGAGTCTTGTCCCCACTATCTGACTGCCATGTCCTTGGCTGCACTGCTCTGTGCGGGCTGTGCCCAGGGGCAACTCTCCGGGTGGGCTGCTGGTGAGGAGGGGGCCGTAAAGGGAGGCAGAGCTGGGGCGATGGCACATGTGCCCATAGAGAGGGCTCTGAGTGCTGCCTCTGGCACGCATGCCATAGGTTCGCCACTACTGGTATAGGGTTTCTTGCTTGAACATGGGATTGGACTAGAACAGGGCTTTTCAACCAGTGGTACGGGTACCACCTGTGGTACATTGGCACCTGGCAGGTGGTACACGACCATCCTAGAAAAGTGGTAGCGGGGAGGGGAATGAGCTGAACCGGTGGCAGCACCACACAAGCCTGAGCGAGAGATCGCTGGAGCTGCAGGGCTGTCAGGGCTCAGTGGAAGCACCAGGATCAGTGCCAGGCTCCAGCTGGAACTCGGCCCTGATCCTGGTGCTTCTGCTGAGCCCTGAAGAAGCACTGATCAGCTGGAAAGCGGCACTGATCCTGGCGCTTCTGCTGAGCTCAGAAGAAGCACCGATCAGCTGGAATGTTGCAGCATATCCAGGGTCTTGTGATTTACATTTAGATGCTTGGCAACTGATTCATATTTATGACGGTCACAGTGTCCCAGGGTCATGTGAAGTGACCAAAACCTGCTGCAACCACCCAGCAGACGGGGGGAATAAAAACCAAAAACCCCCCTCCCCACCCCTGCTGCCAATCCTCAACAGAAATGCTCACAACAATGAAAACCTCAGACAGGAGGAAGAGCACCGACGGGTGGGCAGGCAGGTGTCTTGCTCGGCTGTGGCTTGGGGGGCACTTTTTTCAGTGCCATTCTAACTTCAAACAGTCACTAAGCGAACTGTTGTAAGTCGAGGACTACCTGTACTTTATCACTTTTTTCCTTTTTTTTTGGTCATCAAATTTTTGACACCTTGCTAGGCGACTGGTGGTACTTGGATATTGCCATATCCTAAAAGTGGTACAGTGGGTGAAAAGGTTGAAAAGCCCTGGACTAGAAGAACCCCCAAGGTCCCTTCCAACTCTTGTTATTCTGTTAATGGGCTTGGAGGAATGACTTGCCTGATTTCTGAGATCTGTCTTGGCAAATTCAATCTGTTCTCTCTTTTCCCTTAGGAACTGGTGCTCCTCTGTTCAATATCGGACAGCCACTTACGTTGCAGTTTGCAGGACAGAGAAATACGTAATCCGGTCCCAACAACCATGTCCGAATGGAACTCCAGACTGCCAGAAGATCATGTACGTAGCACCATCCTTTCTTCTTAAGGGGGGAGTCAACCCAGCATTTAAAGTAGCCTTGCCTGTTGCCTGTTGCGATCCAGTGTCTGGCATCTCCTTTTGACATGGAAGGGACCTTCCTTCCTTTCCTCAAAAAAGACTATCCAATGCAGCTTGAAGGTTTCCCAGGAGTGAGGAAATATCTGACCTAGCTTAGAGATACTTGCCCTCTTTGGGAATCACACCTTATCAGATTACAGAATTTCCCAGGAATCCAGAGACGACATCTTAGTTTTGTCTCTCATTTATGGTTATGAACACGTTGTCCCAAATGACGAATGCTTCTCTCTTTAAAGGCATCGTAGGATTAATTAAATCAATGGTCTGGTTGATGGGCATTTCTAAACTTCCCTTTATGGCAGGGGTCCCCAAACCCTGGCCTGTGGACCAGTATTGGTCCGCGTCATGCCAGAAGCCTGTCCACGCAAACAAGCGAAGCCCCATTCACTGGAGGCAGGCAGCAGACAAAACCACATCCCCTCGGGTCCATGGAAAAACCTTTCTCCATGGAACTGGTCCCTGGTCCCCAAAAGGTTGGGGGCGTCTGCTTTAGGGCATATTTAAGCTTCAAGTGGATAACTTTGCAGAGAAAGGAAAAGATGGCACCCTTAGAGGTTGTCTCTCTCAGCCCTCCGAGCAGAGGACGGCGTTCTGCAGAACCCAGATCGATGGTTAAAGAAACCTGCATCTTTTAGCAATCAGTCAGGCACACAAAAAGCAAATGAAGCCTATAGATGAAGACTAGATAGCAGCAAAGAGGTAGACGGCCACTTGGATTTCTGCGGATAGATTTTGCCTAACCAAAACTTCTGACAGGTCCCTAATCGCCATGTTGTCATGGTCCTGTTGAAGGAAAAGTTTTCATCAGGGTCCAGTCCAAGCCGGGAATAAACAACATGGTGACTGCTTTAGAAAGAAGGTTGCAGTTTATTGAAGAGGAGAGCCAGATAGAAAGATGGCTCTGGAAGAAAAAAGAGAGAGCACATATAGGGAGTGAGTTTTTATACCCTCTGGAGCATTTTGTTTGGAGTTGTTTCCTGTTCCTGTTTGAGGCTTTGTATTTCCTGTGTCATGTATTCTGACTTGAGTCTGGGTGTGCCCCTTTGGCATCTGTGGGTTCCCGTCTTAGAGTTTGGGTGGGGTATGTAGATTTTAGGTGTCTGTCTTCCTAAATTTCTAGCTGGGGGCCTCCAACCTTCCTGGATTATTTACATCTGTATTTCTACAGAACTGGTTTCTGCTTGGGGGACAGAGAGACTTGGGAGCTTTTAAGAGACTTTGTTTCTGCTTTTAAAACCCTTTAGAGAAATATATTTCAAAAATATTTCTTTCTCTGGCGGGGGGGGGGCTGACTTCCCACAGTCCTTTACCAAGACCTTCAGGGTATGAGATGAGGCTTACTCCTAATCTATCACTCTTTCCTTCCTTCTTCTTCTAGGTACAGAACAGCGTTGAAGCCAGTCTACAAGATAAAAGAGAAAGTGGTCAGCTTTTTAGACTGGAAGTGCTGCCCAGGTTATGTAGGCAAGGACTGTGAACAATATGGTAAGAATGCCATAGGTATCTGTCTGTAGTTGGGTGCACTCTGTGTGTCAACTAATCAACCAGATTGGCTGAAGTCAGCTGCAAGTATCTGGGGGGTTGAGACACCTAAAGGGACTCTTGACTGTTGAGAACGTTCTCTGCTGGATCATAAGTAGCAGAAGAGCAGAGAAGATTGCAAAGCCACAGAGGTCCTTTCTT